TGTCTGTAATCCGTTGTCACATTTACCATTCTTCCTGAACTTAAAACACACTTTGTAACTGTCGTTCACATTATATCATGACGTTTGTTTTAATGTTATGAATACACAATTTTCCGGTGCGACCTGCTGGCTTCTTGCTGAACGAGTGTATTTACGCTCCATTGAACTGTTTGTTGACTGCTAAACCAGTGGGACTAAATCTCTGTGTTTGTGTCAACTGTTGAACGTCACAATAAATACCTATGACATTTTTTAGCCGTGAATAATTTTCCTACCGTGGAATATATCACGCACGCGGAACCATCTGTGGGAAATTTCGACAAGTAAATATTTCCTTTCACAGCCAGTTACTGCATTTGGATCGGTGTAGTGGACTATTAGATCTACACATTCGTGAGTCCCCATTTGACTACTTATTCCTTCCCTATTGTGATTTTGTGAGTTTGTATTGGTTACTTTGCTTGTTGATTTATCCGAACACGCTGATAAGGTCCTAGTCCGCCACAAACTAGTTCAAGTAGGATTAACTGGCCAAGAGGTGCACAGTCATTTGTTGCGTTAGTAAACCAGGAGACCCTAAACTGCAGCATGAGCTGAGTACTACGCAGCAGGTTTAAGCGGATCCGGAAGAATCACTGTTTTGTGCGTTCCTAGATATCGCAAGTCTTAGAGAGTCTGGATTTTATCCGCAGACGGCAGAATGATTCTGGTGCTCGATTTCTGACGCAAGCAAGACCTCATCAAAAAATCAAGTGGGGTCAATAGGGTGTTTGCTACAAAAGTGTGACGGTGAGTTTGACGTCAAATCTCACGAGGGCGCAAATACGGAAATTTTGTTTTCGTTTACTGGCCCGCAAATTTAACATAAAAGAGTCAATTTTTACAAAAAACAAAATACAGTGTCAGCTGACATCTCTAAAACACAAGTTCAGCTACAAAATATCTGTCTGCCACGTACGAACAAGAAAACCCTGCATACCGACGTTTTGCATTTCGACTGTCTTTGAGGGGTAAGATCAGGATGGAGTGAGACGAGGCGTCGGTATCTTTTGACTAATAATTTCGGATGAGTAATGCCAGTACATCACCGACAACTCTTAAGAACACTGAGAACCGGATGATTAGTGAAAGCTAGCCACCAAGTTTCTGTAGTACCAACGCTGAAAAACCGCCTATACTCCATCGTAACTATGACAAACTCTTCGTCTCCGAATGCTTAACCTCTGTATTGTGGTTCACAGTAAGACAGTAGTGACACGGGTGTACTGCGTACACGCGACCAGCTGGTCCGCTTTCGTGGCGGGTAAGCAAACA